TGACAGACATCACCAACAGCCCTTTATTGTTCAAACGCCACATCATGATGCTAGCAGCAGTTACATTTGCAGACTCTCAGCAGAATTTTTCACTGCTCAGAATAGTTTCTGACTTCATGACTGAATGTTCTGTGACTTCAGTAGCCTAAAGATAAAAATAATGTTTTTGTTGATTCATTTTAAGCTGTTTATCTGCTTGCTAACACACAAAATAGGCCAAATTCTGTGCATTTGCATAATAATAGTGAAAGGGTCCAGCTTCACATTAACCAATTAAAACATCCAAGGATGGAGTCTGTGGTCTTCTAAAATTGTATTTTAAAGATAATGTTCATATCTGAAAATTGCAGGGTGATGTCTGTCATCTGGAAAGATTTTCCCCCCCCAAGTTTGTTTTATTATCAGTTATTTAACTGTTCATGCATTTCTTTTTGAAATGAAAAGTAGTACAAAGCATAAAATTAAATTATATGATTGTCATTTAATTTTCCGTTTTATACAGCTGCGCTCAGACTGTGTGATTTAAACAAATGTATAATAATTTATTAACCAGTAATGAAAATAACTGGCAGGTATGGCTCAAAATCAAACAAAAAACTCTGTCACCCTTACCAAATTGTAATACAGTTAATCTGCTTTTTCAGGGATTTTATCGAGGAGGGAGTTGTGGATTATGCCAACAAGAACCCTGGAACTGTCGTCTATGTGTCTCCGCAGCCCTGCAGAGTACCAAAAATAGTTGCAGAATACTGTAAGTGCCCACAGCTCTGTTCAAATCAGACCTGAATAAATTTACTGAAACAATGGTGAAGCAGAGTGACAGCGAGATTTCTGAATATATATCATTTGTTGATGTAGATATAAAGTAAAGAGAGAAGGAGTTAAGATTACAAGCTTCTGTTAAGGAATTTAAAGGTAATGAAATTATAATAGAGAGCAACTGAATGTTTATTAGAACATTTATTATATTCAACTGAGTAATCAATAAAGTATACTGAATAAAAAGATGAGTACCAAAATGAATGGTAATCATGTAGGAATTTAGTCATGTCTCTCTAGAGATGGTAAGCTTTCAAATGCTTCCAATCTAACCATCACAGATGTGCCTGACTAAAATAAGATGAGATAAGACTTAACTGATTCTATGCTGGGGATATTTAGTCTCCTTGGAGAAAATACTCCTCTTCTTTCACGCCTGTACTGTCATTTGTTATGTAGAAAAATAAAGAGAAATAAGTGAAAGTATGTTTGTTTGGATAGTTCAAAGAGCAAACACATTGGGTTGGTGCTGAGAGTGTTTCTGATGCTGAGGTTATGGTCATACTGTAATCTCTTGCAAACTACCTCCACTGCTTCAGAGACTGGAACACAAGTGAAGAGAGATGTAACGTCATACGAGACTGCTGTTTCAACAGCCTCCATAATGACATCTCTCACCTTCTCAACAAAATCCAAAGTGTTCTGGATGTGGTGTTTAGAGCTGCCCACCAATAGGTTGACAATTGAAACCAGCAACTTGTTGATGTTATAGGTGACCGAGTTGATCATACAGGCAGTTGGTCTTACAGGTGCACCCTGTTTATATATCTTCTGTAAACCATACAGACTTGGTTTAGATTCTCCTGGGTATAGCCTGTGGTATGAGGTTTGCTCAATAACGATGTCTTGCTCTAACTGTTTCAGACAGTCTATCACCCTCTTCCTGTAACAACTACCTGGTTCTCATTTCAGGGGCTCATAAGTATTTTTGTCACTGTGCAGCAACAAAATTTTCTCATGTTAGTCTTTCTGGTTTAGTAAAAGCATGCACCTACCCTTGTCTGCCGGAAGGATGATAATGTTGTTATTACTAAGTGATGTGAGTGCCTTCCTCTCCCCCATGTTGATGTTGGATGCTGAGGACTTTGCATTGCTGAGACAGGCCAAAACTTTCGTCCCCAGTTGCTCTGCTTCTACATCTGCAAAGCTGATGTTTTGAATTGCTGTTTCTGTAGCTGTGATCAATTCAACTAGCGGGATTTGTCTCGGCTTTACAACAAAGTTCAACCCTGCAAGGATGTTTTTGACTGTTTGGGTGAGTTTTCTGTCAGGCAAATTTTTCCCCGCTTTACACATCCTCGGTGTGGCATCCTTCTGTCTTCAGGCTGTTGAGGAAACTCCATATTTGGCTATGCAGATGTTCTGTTCATAAGGTTGGGGAAACCTGCAGTCAGCTGAGACTGAAGAAGTCACTTGGATGAGTGATGAAACATTTGCCCCACTAAAAACACTACGTCCAGAAAAAAAAGAATCATCTTTTCAGGATTTCCTTACCTGTATGATTGAGCATGCATCAAGGCATATTTTCTAACATTTCTTTCATATTATCTGAAAACTCCTTAAATAAGGTTCTTCATATTTTTAGGGTAAATATCTGGTACTGTGGCTTTATCAGTAAGGACATTTATAGAATGATGGATGCTTGAAATCTCTAAAATATTTGGATCCTGGATCTCTGACAGCAAATTTGGAAGCATTGTAGAAATGAGAATTTTGCAGATAGGGAATTGATATTTTATTTCCAGCTTCTCATATAGAAGGCATGTAATAGTCTTTA